TATTACCATATTCAGTTGTGTGCTTACAAATGAGGATGAATATCCACAATTTCCCCATCCAATGCAAACCATATCCAACCCCTTTCAATATTTTACTTTCACATCCAAAATTCACAAAATGTACCTCCCACCCCCAAACACACACACCCACAAGTCGACCTATAACAAATTGCCAATGAACTACTAAAAATTTGCAAGGTAAGGCCATTTGTATTTAATCGGAAAAGGTTGCAAATTCTAGTTTAAGGATAATATTGTTACCTCAAATACAAGCGCACAAACAGCCGCACACAGAGGAACATGGGATCTCATAGTGAAACCCAGGCCTCAACTCTCATGTGAGTTGTCCATATGTATGTTCCTGTGTGTGTGTGGATGTGGGTTCAGCATATTTGTATTCCTTATTTAAATGATTGCTTATGCCAAAATATGTAATGGTTTTGACTCGAAACGAAAACCGATATTTCGATATTTGTTCGGGTATGTGGACGTGGATTTGTGTGGGTTTGTAAATGTGTTTCAGCCAAACTGGATATGGATTTATGTTGACCCACTACGAGTGTTACCTGTAGCCGAAAAAATGTTGTTGTTGTTGTTGTGTATGTTCTTCATTATTTGCCAACTGCTGTTGTTGCTACAGACAAGGGAAATTTGTGAATTTTCCAGTTTGCGGGTCTGTGCATGGTACGTGTGTGTTTGCATGACATGATTGTATGTATCGGTGGGTGTGTGTGTGTGTGTCGAGTATGTTTAAGGCTCATTTATTATTGTTTGGTTTGAATTGCATGCAATTTAACATGACTATACCACCACCACTACCAATACCACTCAGTCAGCTCAGCCAGCCAGTGACTGACACAAAATTTCCATTTCCAACCAAATTGGGAACTATTTAAATATTCGTCGAGTCAAGTCGAGTGTAGTCGACAGCAAATAATTTGGTACACATAATGGTACAATGGGACGTAATGACATAGAGGGCAAGATTTTTTTTATTGGAGACAGAGAGATCTTCTACGAGAAGAGCTGTAGGTATTTTCTCAGACTAGCTGGAGGTCTTCTTCTTATAAAAGAGCTGGAGTTCTTCTTCTTTTAATAGAAGAGCTGGAGGTCTTCTTCTAATAGAAGAGCTGGATGTCTTCTTCTTTTAATAGAAGAGCTGGAGGTCTTCTTCTTTTAATAGAAGAGCTGGAGGTCTTCTTCTTCTAATAGAAGAGCTGGAGGTCTTCTTCTTCTAATAGAAGAGCTGAGAGGTCTTCTTCTCATCGAAGAGCTGAGAGGTCTTCTTCTCATCGAAGAGCTGAGAGGTCTTCTTCTCATCGAAGAGCTGAGAGGTCTTCTTCTCATCGAAGAGCTGAGAGGTCTTCTTCTCATCGAAGAGCTGAGAGGTCTTCTTCTCATCGAAGGGCTGAGAGGTCTTCTTCTCATCGAAGGGCTGAGAGGTCTTCTTCTCATCGAAGAGCTGAGAGGTCTTCTTCTAATCGAAGAGCTGAGAGGTCTTCTTCTCATAGAAGAGCTGGAGGTCTTCTTCTTCTTCATAGAAGAGCTGGAGGTCTTCTTCTTCGTCATAGAAGAGCTGGAGGTCTTCTTCTTCTTCATAGAAGAGCTGGAGGTCTTCTTCTTCTTCATAGAAGAGCTGGAAGTCTTCTTCTTCTTCATAGAAGAGCTGGAGGTCTTCTTCTTCATAAAAGAGCTGGAGGTCTTCTTCTTCTTCATAGAAGAGCTGGAGGTCTTCTTCTTCTTCATAGAAGAGCTGGAGGTCTTCTTCTTCTTCATAGAAGAGCTGGAGGTCTTCTTCTTCTTCATAGAAGAGCTGGAGGTCTTCTTCTTCATAGAAGAGCTGGAGGTCTTCTTCTTCATAGAAGAGCTGGAGGTCTTCTTCTCATAAAAAAGCTGGAGGTCTTTTTCTCATAGAAGAGCTGGAGCTGGAGATCTTCTCTTAGAAGAGCTGGAGTTCTTCTCCAAGAAGAGATGGAGTTCTTCTCCAAGAAGCGCTGGGAGGTCTTCTTCAAAGAAGAGCTGAAGGTCTTCTTCATAGAAGAGCTAGGAGGTCTTCTTCATAGAAGAGCTGGGAGGTCTTCTTCATAGAAGAGCTGGGAGGTCTTCTTCATAGAAGAGCTGGGAGGTTTTCTTCATAGAAGAGCTGGAGGTCTTCTTCTCATAAAAAAGCTGGAGGTCTTCTTCTCCTAGAAGAGTTGGAGGTCTTCTCTTAGAAGATCTATAGGTCTTCTCCTAGACGATCTATAGGACTTCGTCCAGAAGATCTAGAGGTATTCTCCTGGAAGATCTAGAGGTCTTCTCCTAGAAGATCTATAGGACTTCTCCTAGAAGAGCTGGAGGTCTTCTATGGTGAACAGAAAAGCTTGAGGTCTTCCTTGGTCAACAGAAGAGCTTGAGGTCGTTTATCGTCAATAGAAGAGTTTAAGGTGGTCTTCTATGGGCAATAGAAGAGCTTGAGGTGGTCTTCTTTGGTCAATAGAAGAGCTTGAGGTGGTCTTCTTTGGTCAATAGAAGAGCTTGAGGTGGTCTTCTTTGGTCAATAGAAGAGCTTGAGGTCTTCTATGGGCAATAGGAGACCTGAAGTGGTCAAGAGGAGACCTTAAAGTTTTTGGGAGGCTATAGGCAATAAGTGAAGTTGAGGTCTTCTCACAAAAAATCAGCAGATATTGTCATGGAAGATTAGCTGTGGATCTTCTAACGAAAGATCTGTTTCTTATAGAAGACCAACAGACCTGTGCCTCATATATTTCATAGAAATCCCATACGAGCCACTATCCGCATTATTCGTAGATTTTTAGGCCATTTCTCGTTTATAAATTAAGTTAATCCACAGGATTCTTATTGGCGAACACCAACAACAATCCAAACAGTCGGAATTGGTGATACGTTTTTGCTGCTGCCATTGGTAATGTTGTTGCTGTTAGTGCAGCTGCACATAGCCCAAAGACAGCGGGCCAATTGGCTGGATGCCACAATTTAAAATGCAACGACGACGGCGACGATGGTGAGAGTCGTAAAAACAGCAGCCCAAATATCAGCTATAATCCACAGTGGCCCATAAAGAAGTACTTCGAAAAGAGACAACTCCAAGAAAAAAGCAGTGAGCAGATTATAAGAAAGCAGAAACTCTTTATCCTTGCTCCCCCACCCATGAAATTTGGAGATTGCCTACTTTTTAGACTTGCGAATCTGTTCGAAAGTATCCTGCCACACTGCAACTGCTTACCACAGTGCTCAACATCAATTTGGTATTTCGGCTGATGGCGGCTTAGCTCATTGTTGTTGGTGGTGGCGCTGGTATAGCAGAAAATGGTGGCAATGACAACCAGCGGCGGCAACATCAGCTTGAGTTGATGTTAATTGCTTGCCATTTTTAAAATGGCAACATGTGGCCATATTCATTTGTTTGATAAGTTTTTCCTTGTTTTTGTTCTTTTTGGCGTTTTTTGTTGTTGTTGGGTTCAGTTTCCAGCGAATCCCAATAATAAATCGCATTTTCGGTAATATATTAAGTAGTTGTTGATGAGGTCGGCGATGATGAAACAAAGTAATAAATATTTAAAATTGTATTCAAACTAAAGTTCCTCTGCTAGGACCTAGGACCTCAAGGTCCTCTATGGACCAGAGAAGACCTCAAGCTCTTCTATGGACCAGAGAAGACCTCAAGCTCTTCTATGGACCAGAGAAGACCTCAAGCTCTTCTATGGACCAGAGAAGACCTCAAGCTCTTCTATGGACCAGAGAAGACCTCAAGCTCTTCTATGGACTATAGAAGACCTCAAGCTCTTCTATGGACCAGAGAAGACCCCAAGCTCTTCTATGGACCAGAGAAGACCTCAAGCTCTTCTATGGGCCAGAGAAGACCTCAAGCTCTTCTATGGGCCAGAGAAGACCTCAAGCTCTACTATGGACCAGAGAAGACCTCAAGCTCTTCTATGGACCAGAGAAGACCTCAAGCTCTTCTATGGACCAGAGAAGACCTCAAGCTCTTCTATGGACAATAGAAGACCTCCAGGTCTTCTATGGACAATAGAAGACCTCCAGGTCTCAAGCTCTTCTATAGACAATAGAAGACCTCAAGCTCTTCTATGGAATAAAGAAGACCTCAAGCTCTTCTACGGAATAAAGAAGACCTCAAGCTCTTCTATGGAATAAAGAAGACCTCAAGCTCTTCTATGGAATAAAGAAGACCTCAAGCTCTTCTATGGAATATAGAAGACCTTAAGGTCTCCTAATGACTATAGAAGACCTCAAGCTCTTCTATGGACTATAGAAGACCTCAAGCTCTTCTATGGACTATAGAAGACCTCAAGCTCTTCTATGGACTATAGAAGATCTCAAGCTCTTCTATGGACTATAGAAGACCTCAAGCTCTTCTATGGACCATAGAAGGCCTCAAGCTCTTCTATGGACCATAGAAGGCCTCAAGCTCTTTTATGGACTATGGAAGACCTCAAGCTCTTCTATGGACTATGGAAGACCTCAGGCTCTTCTATGGACTATGGAAGACCTCAGGCTCTTCTATGGACCATAGAAGATCTCAGGCTCTTCTATGGACTATGGAAGACCTCAAGATCTTCTATGGACTATAGAAGACTTCAAGCTCTTCTATGGACTATAGAAGACCTCAAGATCTTCTATGGACTATAGAAGACCTAAAGCTCTTATATGGACTGTAGAAGACCTCAAGGATCTCTATAGACTATAGAAGACCTCAAAGTCTCCTGTTGACTAAAAAAGGCCTCAAGATCTCCTATTGACTATGGAAGACCTTAAGGTCTCCTATTGACTATGTGAATGTCTTTATTGGTCTGTAAAAAACCTCACGATACACATTCATCAAACATCCTTTAATCTCTCTCCAAGGATAAGTTATTTGCATTTCCCCAAAGTAAATGTTAATTTCGTTACTCGTTACTGTTTTACAACTTCGCTCCTTGTTTTTTCCTCCAATTCTTAACAAAATTAATTTCCATTATCCTTGCAAAGAATAGACTTACCTTGCAATACAATTGTCCTGAAAAGAGAACAAGACAAAGAGATAAATAAACATAAATAAATATTTAAATATAAAATTATCATTGTTTGTATATTTTTGTAGCCGTTGTTCGTGTTTTTGTGCACGCTGGCAAAAAAGGATGCAATATCCTTTTGCAGAAGTTGTTGAAAAGTCATTGCTAAAGTGCGGGTTCTTGAAGGCGAAAGGAGAGAAAAGAAAAGGTGTTTTTCGGTTTTTTTGGATGCTGCTGTTTCTGTTGCTGTCTGTTTTTCTTGGGCATTGATGGAATTTCATTTATTTGCATCGCTCAAAAATTGACTGATGTCAGGAGACAAGGAAATGGAGTGACATGGAGGTATGGTAACTGTGGAAGGCAGGGCCGTGAGTTTGGGAGGGGAGTTTTGAGGTTAACCCTAAGAAAAAAAATTTACCACCCTAGAGAAAAGGATATCCTTCCATATTCCTGGAAGATCCTTTCCAAGGACCTGCTTCAATGGAAGGCTTCTCAGTGAGTCATTTTTGGCTCCACCAATGCTGAAAATACTGAAAATCTTTGAAAGTGACATGAAATCCAATTGGAAATACAATAGCTTGAAATTCAAAGTAGCCACGTGAAAATAAATGAAGCTGTGCGAAGCCAGCTGAGCCATGTGACGTTTGGATGGATGTCTGCAAGAAGTCAAGGATAAGTGTTAAGACATTTGGAAAAAAGAAGAAACAGTTGTTCGTCGTGGCGTGGAAATAACAATTGCTGGGTCAACAAGAACACCAACAACAACAATGAGAACAAGAAGCCTTCCAGGTAAGTGCACATGAAAATGAACGAATCAAAGTGACACAAAGAAATGCCACTCAGCAAAAGGACACTCCTCTGCCATACATCCAATATCCCTCCCCTCCTGCTCTCTGTAAACGAATAAAAAATGGAGACAAAAGAATCCTCCAAATGGGAAAGAAAGAAAGAAAAAAAAAAAAAAACTGGGAATTATGCAAAATGCCGGAAATGTGAATACAGCAATTGGTTTTTCATGGCGAACACCAGCACCAACATCAGCACCAATACAGGCACAACATTGAAATTCATTTGCATTTAAAGCAATTTGTTCCAATTCGCGAAACATCCTTTCTTGTATCCTTTTTCTTCTACTTCTTCATGGCTGAACGGCATAGATGTTGGATCGACAATGCCACACGATTGCATAAAACTATATTTGGGAGGATGTTCGGAAGAGGGTGAGAGGCCAGGATAGGAGGAAGAAGAGGAAGGAAATTTAGTATTAAAGTGCCTGGGTGTTGGTGTTAAGCCATGTGGACCATAGGTCAACAGATGACGCCGCTTTAGCTGTCTCGAATGCTTTGCGACAAATAATGTAAGGAGACATCCGAATTTTTTTTCTTAAAATTATTCCGCTGAAGCGTTAGTGATTTACTCGTTTATGTCACTCCTTCAAGTAACGGAATAGGGGGAATAAGTGAAATTTTAGATATTTCCAAAAAAAAAAACATAAAAGGGGTTATATTTAGCAGTAGCGGAATCACGAGGGGCGTATGGGGAAAAATTGTATTCATAGGAATTTTAAGAAGTTTAGGATGAGATTTAAAAAGTTCAGAGTTAAAGAATATCAGTCGGTTTTGTCCTCAACTAATGTTCGATTATTTAAATATATATTGACTTCTGTTATAATTATTTAAATTGTTGGCCTCTGTGAAGTAGGTTCTGAGGGAATGAGCCAATTTTGTCCATTTCGACTCCAAATGTCTTGAAACAAAAAAAAAAAAAAAAAAAAAAAAAAACCTAGGGTTTAAAACCAATCAAATGATAGATGCTCTCTCTCTCACCTGACCTCTGATAGGTCTTATATCGTCAAAGGACCTCTGGACCTTTTGATTAGTCTTCTTCAAGCAGAAAAATCTTTGAGATCTTCTACAGAGAGAGGTTTTCTGGAACCGAGGATCTTTTAAAGGTCTTCAGCAAACAGAATATCTGTGAAGGGTCTTCTAAAGCTGGGGATATCGTAGAGGTCTTCTATAGATGGATAACCTCGAAAAGTTTATCTATAGTTGGAGGACCTCTCAGATGTCTCCAGTACATGAAGAACCTCTAACAGGTCTCGTTTAGATGAAGAACTCAGAAAAAACTCTAAGATTTTCTACAGAGAAAGGAAATCTGACAGGTTTTCTAAAAATGGTGGACCTCTGAGAGGTCTTCTACAAATGAAGGACATTTTATTTCATTGGAAATCCTTAATTCAATGTTCCAAACTAGGCTTTTAAAAAATGGAGTTGAGTCTGGTCTTTTATTTTTTTTAAATCTACGATTAAGGCTTCAAGCTTGCCTCAAGCTTCTTTAAAAATCCGAACTCATGGAGCTCAGCTTCTGGGCTTTTATAGAATCTCAGGCTAGCCATTGAAATACATTTAAAAATGAAGTCATAATTGAGATTTAAACTAGGCTTTAAAACGAGCTCAGATCGGCCATTGAAAAAAAAATTAGGAGCTTTGTTAGCCTTTGAAAAATATTGAAATTAAAAAAAGCTTTAAACAATTTTGAAAAATCTCAAAAAAATCCACGCTCATAAAGCTTAAAAAAATAAATAAAAAGCCACGCCAAAAAGCTTTGATACCAGATTTAAGAAATACCGACTTAAAAAGCTTTGAAAAAAGTTTGAAGAAATACCTGCTTAAAAAGTCTTGAAAAAACACGTTTGAAGGAGTTTGAAAGTTTTGAAAGCCATAAAAAAGCTTTAATATTCAAAACAAGTCACGTCTAAAAAACTTTGAAAAAAGTTTTAAAAACTAAAAAATCCAAACCTAAAAGCTTTGAAAAAAAAAAAAAATAAAAATCCATGCCTAAAAAGCTTTGAAAAAATTAAAAAATCCATGCCAAAACTCCACTTCTAAAAAGCTTTGAAACCTGGCTTCTGATAATCTTCAATCGCCAGAAGACATCTAAAAAGCTCCTGAAGAAGAGAGAAGATTGAGGACTTCTGATTGGACTTCTTCAGGCTGAAAAATCTTTGAGATCTTCTACAGAGAGGGTCTCCTGGAACCAAGGTCCTCTTAAATTGCATCTACAAACAGAGGAATTCTGAAGGGTCTTCTAAAGCTGAGGGATATCGTAGAGGTCTTCTATAGATGGATAACCTTGAAAAGTTTATCTATAGTTGGAGGACCTCTCAGATGTCTCCAGTACATGAAGAACCTCTAAGTGGTCTCGTTTAGATGAAGAACTCAGAAAAAACTCTAAGATTTTCTACAGAGAAAGGCAATCTGAGAGGTTTTCTAAAAATGGTGGACCTCTGAGAGGTTTTCTACAAATGAAGGACATTTTATTTCATTGAGGGCAATTTGAGAAAATTTTGGGAAATTCTTAATTCAATGTTCCAGACCATGCTTTTAAAAAAGGGAGTTGATTCTGGTGTTTGATTTTTTTTAAATCCACTATTGAGGCTTCAAGCTTGCCCCAAGCTTATTTAAAATTCCGAACTCATGGAGCTCAGCTTCTGGGCTTTTGTAGAATCTCAGGCTAGCCATTGAAATACATTTAAAAAGGAAGTCATAATTGAGATTTAAACTAGGGTTTAAAACGAGCTCAGATCGGCCATTGAAAAAAAATTAGGAGCTTTGTTAGTCTTTGAAAAATATTGAAATTAATAAAAGCTTTAATCAAACTTGAAAAATGCCCAAAAATCCACGCTTATAAATCTTTGAAAAGCGCTTAAATATTTAAAAAAAATAAATAAAAAGCCACGCCGAAAAAGCTTTTATACCAGATTTAAGAAATGCCGGCTTAAAAAGCTTTGAAAAAAGTTTGAAGAAATGCCTGCTTAAAAAGCCTCGAAAAACCACGTTTGAAGGAGTTTGAAAGTTTTGAAAGCCATGAAAAAGCTTTAATATTAAAAAAAAAATCATGTCTTAAAAAAACTTTGAAAAAAAAACTTTGAAAAAATTAAAGAATCCATGCCAAAACACCACTTCTCAAAAGCTTTGAAACCTGGCTTCTGATAATCTTCAATCGCCAGAGGACATCTGAGAAGCCTTTGAAGAAGAGAGAAGATTGAGGACTTCTGATTGGACTTGGAAAAATCTTTGAGATCTTTTACAGAGAGGGTCTCCTGGAACCAAGGTCCTCTTAAATTTCTTCTACAAACAGAGGAATTCTGAAGGGTCTTCTAATGCTGAGGGATATCTTAGAGGTCTTCTATAGATGGGGGACCCCGAAAAGTTCTTCTATAGGTGGAGGACATATGAGATGCCTCCAGTACATGGAGAACCTCTAAGAGGTCTCGTATAGATGAAGAACTTCTCAGGTTTTTTCAGACAGAAAAATCTCTGAGATTTTCTACAGAGAGAGAACAACTGACAGGTTTTCTTAAGATAATGGACTTCTGAGAGGTCGTTTATGGATAAAGGACCTTTTTGAGGACTTCTACAGACCGAGGACCCCTGAAATGTCTTCTACAGACAGACACTTCTGAGGCACTTCTGAGAGACAGGCACTTCTTAAGGATCTGTGGTGAACTTGTGAGAGGTCTTCAATAGATGAAGGACTTCTGAGGTCTTTATATATAGCCTCTGAGAGGTTTTTTTGTAGATGGAGGACCTGTGAGATGTATTCTATTGGTGAAAATCTTCTGAGAATACTTCTACAGATGAAGGAAGTCTGAGAGATCTTTTATAGATAGAGAACCTATACGCGGCCTTTTATAGATGAAGGATTTTAGAGAGGACTTCTGTAGATGAAGGATGCCTGAAAGGTCATTTACAGATAAAGGACCTCTAAAATGTCCTCTCTAGTTGAAGAACATTCTGAGAGGTCTTCTAAAAAAATGTAGAACCTCTGAGGGGTCTTTTACAGACTTCTGAGACTTCTGAGAGGACTTCTATAGATGGAAGAACTCTATTATAAATGAGGACTTCTGTAGATGGAGCACCTCGATTACTGATAGTGGACCTCTAAAGATATTTTATAAATGAAGGACATCTGTAGGTGGAGGACCTCTTAGAGGTATTTTATA